TGAACGATACCCACTGCATATCCCCACTCAATTTGTACCAAATATCTATACACTAGAGCAGAAATTGAGAGATCTCAAATAAGACAGTAAAGGGGATAACTGTAGATACCAGAGACTGTGAGGGAGGAGAGTGAATGGTAGAGGGAGGGGACAAAGTGCAAAGGGAAGAAACATTTAACAGACTTACAAGGTGCAAAGGGAAGAAACATTTAACAGACAGAAAAATGTAAAGATCTCTGTTGAAAAATGTATACTTATTGTATATATCATGATGGGGTCTCACCATGTTTTGATGCTGCTTCCCCAGTTTCCTAGTTAGTAAAAATATAGGCAAGCATAAATCACCGCACCCCACTTGTTCACATTGGGTTGAGAACTGAACCGAGGCCTCCCATGGGAGGCTGCACCCCACTTGTTCAGGTTGAGTTAAAAACCGAATCCAAGCCTTAGCCACCATATAACAGTGCCCTCCCACTAATGCCACTGTGGCTGGGCCTGTATTTTCCATTTTTTTAGCTTTAAAAATAATTGTCATCTATTGACTAAATAAATAAGGTCCACGTGATTATTGTCAAGAGTTGGCTATGATTTGTTTGTTTTGAGAGGTTTTTCCCATAGCGCTTGTGCGCTCACCAGACAGACAGAGAGAGACAGAGACAGAAAGTGAGAAATCACCCCCCCACCCCCACCCAGGGGGGATGGCCACACCACAATCCTTTCTACCCCATCCTCCTCTCAGGATCTTGGGCACGAACACACAGGTGCCGAGGGTGAGCTTTAAGCCACCAAGTCCAGGACTCAGACCGTGGTTGACTACATGGGAGTCCAGTGACATAGCCATTAAGCTAACTGCTGGTCCCTAAGAGTTGGTTATGGTTTTGAAATCACTAATTTCCTCTGTTCACATCTCGACATTTGTCCTAACACTCATATACACGTGTTTTCAGAGCAAACTTATTGACTTCTTTGATTATTTTTAAATGTCGTACAATATGTATATATATTATGTTCAGAAGAAGTTCATTTTATTATCAACTTATTGACTTCTTTGATTATTTTTAAATGTCGTACAATATTTATGTATATATTAATTATGTTCAGAAGAAGTTCATTTTATTATCAACCCAAAGTTCATGCAATATGTGTTCATTAGTTAGAATATCAAACTTAATCATAGAAAAGTGACCTGAATAATTAAGAAAACATATGTAATTACATATAACTTTTTCTGAATCATATAATCATACGTAGTGACTTCTGACAGCTTAGCTTCTACAAAGAATTTCAGAAAAAGATCAGAAAGATTACAATTTATAACACTGCAGGGAGCCGGTAAGCATTGCCTGCCGGTTTTAATCATTGGTAGAGCATATGATTTATGCTTGTCTGAATCAGTACATTCATTTGAGAACCTAAGAGTACCAACTATCTTTCCTTCCTAGCTATCCATAAAGTATTTAATTTTATAAAACAGTTTGATGAAGCAATGTATGACTTTTATTCTAAAAAGAAAATCTAAAAAGAGTACAGAACAGTAGTAGCTGGCTCTACTGCACGAATACGAAATATTCAGAAACAAATTTATTACATGTGAGTTAAGCTATACATTAAAAATACTAGGAGAGTACACATGCATATATGTAAATATTTCCAATACAGAAAATATAATAAAGCTGATCACAGTGTCTACTTTTGGTTCCCCGAAGCTTCTCTTTGAAGTCTTTTCTTAATCTCCTTGCAGAATCAAATACTCCCCCCCTCCACTGTACACCCACCTTGAACACATTATGACACTCATTACCTTCACGTCTGCTTTCCTCGGCTCAGCTTTTGGTCCCTGAACAGCTAGCATCGTGTTCTCTAGGTCACCGAGTTCCCCTTTTCTAGCCCAGAGACTGGCATATAATAGGAACTTGATATATTTTAATTAAGTGAGAAAGTGAAAATTCACTCTTCTAGACCCTGTCCTAAATACTCCCAGCAGATTTAAGTATTTCTGTATATAAAATGTAGTTAATCAAGAATCCTGACACCATGTAGCAAACTAGAATCTGGAATTACATGTATGTGGAAGTAAATTTTCAGATGATAGGCATACATTCCTATATGTACAACATACTTCATGTTTATAAATCTAAATCTCTATCAGGGGACATACCAAAGCTGAGCCATGTCCTGTTTTCATAGGACCCATGGGCTAAGAATGCTGTTTATCTTTATACATGGCTGAAAATTATTTAAAAAATAATAATTTGTGAAAGAAAAATTGTTATAAAATTAAAATTTTGGTGGTCATAAGTTATTTAAACACACTCATCTGTTCAGGCATTGTCTAAGGTTGCTTATATGCACTAATAACAGGGCCAAATAATAAGGCAGAAGGCCATATGGCTGCAAAACCTGATCATGGATGGTTTTTGTTTTGGTAAGGCAGTGACTACATATATTTCATTTTTACATTTTAACAATTTATTATTTTAATTGCCAGAGGGTGTGTGTACTTATAAGAGTGAGACAGAAAGGCAGAGAGAAAAGGAGAAAGCATCCCCCAATGGAGCACGGTCATGTTTCAATTTCTTCTCCTCTGTTTCTCTCTCCTGTTGAGATTTTCATCATGTGTGCACATGTGCCTGTCATGTTTTTCAAGCTACCAGGAACAGAGATTTGAATGGCAGCCAGCTCCTTTAACCAATAGGTCCTGAGGCTGGTCCTCTTTTAACCATTTTATAAATACTAAAAACATAAAAGGAAAGCCTCATTTCCAATACAAACCTGCTATGGCAATTATATAGTTAGAATTGGTGATGAAACATTTTAAATTTTCTTAAGGAATAATGCAATACACTTCAATAGCACCAATACAGTGTGAAAAGCTCTTAAGGTGATATTATCATAAGTTGATAATAGGCTATTAATAAAATCATATAATTAAGATTATATTTTGAGAGGCCAACACACGATATGGTGGTTAAGGTGCCGGATTTCCACGTGGCTGACCACAGTTGGAGTCCTGGACCCAGCAGCTTGAAAATCATGCCAGATGAATGAGGACATGCCCCAAATCCCGAGAGGAGAATGGAGGAGAAGGGATGGTGTTGTACCCATCCTTCCAAGAGGTGATTTCACACTTTCTCTGTGTGTGCGTCTCTCTCTTTGTCTATCCCCAGTGGGTGCATATCTGGTAGCAAAACTAAAAAAAAAGATATTTTTAGTATTTCAAAGTTTATGGAAAAATCTAACCATTTAGAATTAGCTTTTAAACTTTTTGTTTTTTATTTTATTACACTACTTGTACAAAGTGATCCAATTATGACAATAAATCCCAGAATTAAAAGCAGTGTATTCTCAATAGGAGAGAAAATACAACAAATTTTTAGTTTGTGTCATAAACATTCAATATAAAAAAGGCATTAAAATTTAGTAAAATGTCACTTCAATGTGTCACCAGGACTATACCTACTTTCTTACTAAAGATTTGCCCGTTTTGGCACAATTTACACATTTCTAAGTGAAAAGAATTTGTTATGTGACCAAATCTTAGTCTTTTAACATGATATGTGTTTTCATTTTCCTTAAAAACCTCACCTAATTATTACTGAATTATTGATTAAAGGAAAGAAATTATCCAGGTATTTATTGCCAGCTAATTTATATACATTATCTAATTTAAGACAAAAGCTTTGCCAGGGAAGTGTTTTGGGCTTCCTTTTATAGAAAGGAGCTGAAGCTCAGAGAGGTTAGGTTACTAGTTCAACGTGACACAGTGTGGCACTAAGATCCACATCCACAGAGCCTGTGACACATGTCTTTGTTCTTCCCATGTGGCTGCTGGATTGTTTTTTTACCTACTATTAATAAATGTTTAAAAAATTAACCAAATTAGTCTATGTCATGACACATGGAAATAATATAATATAAACTTCAGGGTCCATAAATAAAGGTTTATTTGAACACAGTTAAGGTCACTGATTACCATACTGGCTATGGCTGCTTCTGTACTACCATGGCAGAAATGAGCAGCTGAAACCGAGACAGTGTTGTTTACAGGCTGACAAGATTTACTATATCTGCAAAACATCTTTACAATGCAGTGCAGAGAAATAAAATTCTGACAACATATCTTTACATTTCAAAAGTATATTTTAAGTGTGAAATTGAACCAAAAAAATGAAACCGAAACTACAAAAATTCTAAATTATGAGCATAGCGGAGTGTTCTTTATTCATCACTCATATATCCTAATTTAATCAACAATGAAGCAAGGTCAAGGTAAAAGGAATCTGCCCAATGGCTTAATGTCTATTTCTGATAGGGATGAGTTCTATTCAATGCTAAAACTGGGTGGTTCCACGGGAGTGTGATGTTTGGTTTTATTTTATCTTTCAAATTTTGATGGTGTGTTAACATTTGATTTAGGAGAAGGTGTGTGTGTGTGTAGTTAATATCTAAGTTCAAAGTATTTCATAAGATGTTAATTATAATTTTAAATGTGGGGTTTTCATCGCTGTTAATTTTAAAGTTACAGACTATTGATTATTTATGTTACTTTAGGTTCTTGGGAATAGTTATGAAAGTCTATAAATCAACAAATACCTGTTTGCCCTTTTAAGAATTTAATTTAAAATTTGAAAGGCTATGGGTTGTGAGGGTGATTAAGTTTGTATGTCCGCTCTGCTTCAGCTGCTCTGACTGATATGATTATTAATGGGCTGAATTAACCACGTGATAAACTGACGAGTGTTAGAAAATCAATAATAAGTACCTGTGTGAAATAATGAAAAATCTAAGAAAAATATTCTACTGTACATACAACACCGACTGATGAAAACCCATAAGCACATGTTATCAACAAACAACTAAAAGGCATGTTCATTCTTCCTTTTTCTTTTAAAGTCCTGGACACAGAAAAGGGATGCAAACATAGAAATAGCCACAGACAGCAAACCAGAGGGGCAAAGCCACACACCCAAACACATGCAGTGTACCATCGTCTCTCATACTTGTTGCGGAAGAGGGAGTGTTGCAACTCAGCAACCAGTCTGCTGTATTTAAAACAGTCATGTTGTCCCCTGAGAACAGGAACAGTGTAAGAGTTCATTGTGCCAATGCGTGCTGGGTGTGCATGAATCATCTTCAGTGCTTATACTGGTTCCTGACCTTTTAACCAAACTTACAACTGCACTGCATAACATTTACATTTTAGTTCATCAGGTCTGTTTCAGTTTAGTTAAATATATGTACAAGATGACTAGTGAACTGTAAAGTCTGATTACAGAGAGCTTGGACTTTACAACCTTATTATTCATCTTAATATTTGTAGGCAATTTAAGGATTAAATGTAAATGTTCTTACTCCAGTAGTCATTACTAAATATTCTTAAACATTTGCAATCCCATAATTAATGGGCTGAAATTACAGGTGCATGTTTAGAGGCAAATAAACATTATAAACAAGGAAAATGTTAATCTGCGAAGGGTTTGGTGTGAAATATGATTAAATATAGGTAAGTGGCAATGCATACAACTTTACACAAATATTTTAGATTGTATGGTTATTCTAAAATAAATGAAAAGAAGTGTTTCAATTTCACAGATATTTCTTTAAAATTTGGAAGAAAATACGATGTGGCAAATACTGATCTTTCTATGAATGGCTTATACAGTAAAACAAATTTCATATAATGTTTAATTTATTGATTAGAATGGATCTACAAAATTTCAAATTATTGTGAATAATTTAAAATATAACTTACATATTATATATGTGTATATACAAAGAGCCATTCTATTTGTCCGCATTCTGATACAAAACCTTAATCAGATTATCTGACAAGTTGAATGCATTTTATTTAAATAATAAAGCAGAATATTTGAAACAACAGTTACTATTGTTGTCATACACTGAGGCATAATTATGAGATAATCAAATGTGAAAGTATCTATCTAGAAAAATGCACGTTTAAATAAATGTTAGTATTATTCACTTTGAAAAGAAAATGCAGCAGATACGAATAGTTTTTGTATTTCTACACTATTTTTAAGAAATATTTGGGGGTATTCTTGTTTTACAATTTAAAAGAAACCAAAAAAAGTGGTATCTACATATTATATATATAATATATATGTATATACACACATATTCATAAACTTATAAATACATATATGGGCATATATAAAAATACACATATACTATGTGTGTGTACTTGCATATTTTATTGAAGGGCAATATCAGGTTACAAATCCTTTAGCTTTCATTTCTACATTTTTTGGAATATTTACATTGACAAATACAAAAAGGAAATCTTGTCAAAGGCCCTCAAAAAGTTGCTCAGAGCTACTATTCTTTCTGAATATTTTCCGCTATAGAAAGGCACACAAAATGTTCAAGAAAATCTAAAGAAAAATAAATAATATGTTCTATATTCTTTGGCTATCACACTGCTTATGTCATTGAAGATCTTCTCCTCACATGTGAATTAAGGCAAACACGGAAATGTGACTTGAGTATCTCTGAGATAGTACGCTTACCTCCTGTCCCATTGGTAGTGACTGATGTGCTGCTGAGATTAGATTTATCCAGTTTGGAACTACCAGGAGTATCACTATCTCCGACAAGAGCATGAGGACTTGCTAGGTCCTGCATTTCCATGGACCTGTTAGGGCAGCAAGCAGCAGATCACAAGTTGAAATTTCAGTGACTATTTCTTAATTAATTGCATGTATTATTCTACTGAGCATGTGTGTGATCCCACAATAATAAGAACTGAAACCAGTAGCTAAGACTTCTAGTCAACCAGATGTATATATCAGTCCATGAAAGATAAATAAACACACATGCACACATACATACATAAACAAACAAATAAATAATTTAAGAAAAACTTCCACAGTAAATTCAGACTCAGAATTTGTTACTTATAACCTTCAACTATTCCATATAATAAAGTAAAAAGCAAATTTTGTCATCTTGGCAATTTAAGTTGATATGGATACCCACCTTTCTAAACTGATTACATCTGTCTTAAGCACACAGAAATGCTGCAAACATGTAATTCCCTAAATCTGACATCCTCTGTCTCCAATGAGGAAGAAATTAGCTGCCAAAAATAAAGTGTCAACTCAAAACCAGAGCAGAAGCTTCTAACTGACCCTACTGACCCACAGGCTGAAAAATGAGAGATGGAGTTGTAATACTTTTAATACCCATTCAGAAATAGAAGACTTTGATTTATGTTTGTTCCAGGGAAAGTGCTAGAAGTCAGACTCTAAATAAAACTGTGATTCTTGAAAGGCTGACCCTCATTTGAAAAGATGTCTAGAAAACAAGAATTGCATGAAAGCCCAAAGAAACTACATATGCTTTCATGAAAGAAAGCTTACAGGATAAGCAAAAATATAGAGAATTTATTAGCAACCACCCAAATTAAAAATAAATAAATAAAAAAACACTAAAGGAAGAATTTCAGCTGAAAGAAAGTATACCAGGTGAATACTCAGATGTACAGGAAGAAATTAAGAGTACTATAAATTTAAATATATAGGAACATATGAAAAACTATCTTTTATTTTTTTCTATTAATTTATAAATGATGCAAAAACTAACAATTAAAAGGAGAAACAGGTATGTCCATGATTCCAGTTAGAGATTTTATAACATGCTTTTCACAGTAACCAAAAGAAAAAAGTAGATAATGAATTTTTTAAATGTATAAGATTTAAATGTGACCTAATTGATAGTAATAGGATGCTATCATCCAATAATTATAGAATACACATTATTTTTAAATGCACATGGAACATCCACCAAAAGGAATATATTCTGAGCTACAAAGTACCAATAGAATTTTTAAGTTTATTTACTTTTTTAGAAGAAAATATTTTATTGAAAGTTTGATTACTGTTTCTGATTATACTATAAACATAGTTTATTTATTTCTTACATGAGACACCCTGAGCAAAGTTTTCACACACAATCTCCTCACAGCCTCAGCCAGCCAGTGTGACGGACATGTGCACATACACTTAGCTTGTACAGGGAAATCTCAGGACACAGATTGAGACCTTGCCCCCAGACCTCAGCATTACAGAGCATTGAGTTACTGCTGCACCAACCAAACTGGGCAGTATCAATGGATATTTGTGTTTGTTTGTTTGTTACAATAGGGCATGTGCACTCACTGGAGAGAGACAGAGAGAAACGGGGGAATGGCTAAGCCATAATCCCATTTACTCTATTCTCCTGGGATTTTGGGCAAGCACACGTAGGCACCTGGCATGATTTTCAAGCCACCAGGAAGGGCACACGAACTTTGGTCAGCCACCTGGGAGTCCAGCCCCTTTACTACCATGCCACCTGCTGGTCCCTCAATGAATTTTAATGCTGAAATATTACAAAATAGGATTTGTGACTACAATGAATAAATTTAGAAAGCCATGCAATAAAATATATTGAAAACTCCCAATTATTTGAAAATTAACCCCTCTACTTTCTAAATAACCTGTGAGTCAAAAAATGTACAAGTGAATATTCAAAAAGATTTAGAAAAAGAACATCAAACCAAAATTTACAGTTTGCAATAAAGCAGTCGTTATTTTATTTATATCTCTTTCTTTCTTTCTTTCTTTCTTTCTTTCTTTCTTTCTTTCTTTCTTTCTTTCTTTCTTTCTTTCTTCCTTCCTTCCTTCCTTCCTTCCTTCCTTCCTTCCTTCTTTCCTTCCTTGATGGGGTCTTACAATATCTCAGCCTTTATTTATTTTATTAATTTTATTTATTTATAGACAGGGTCTCACAATGTCTCAGTCTCCTAAGTAGCTGGGACTACCAGCATGTGTCACCACACCCACCTTTTAGTACAGCCCAGAAATGGAATCAAGGTTTCCATGTGGCTTCAGCATGCTGAATAGCAGCATCAACCAACACATGTTACTGTGACAGTACCAAGAAATTTTTATCTTTAAATGGCTATGTTAGAAAAGGAGAAGGGCTTGGGGTTGGCTTGGAGCTGGTGGTCAAGGGTGCTGGACTCCTACATGGCTAACTGTGGTTCGAGTCCTGGACATGGTGACTTGCTTTCTCATTCCTTCCACCCCCTTACTCTGTCTCTGGTCAAATTTTAAAATAAATAAAAATATACAATTAAGTTAAATAAAATAATTCTTTTTTTAAAATAGAAGGGCTTAAAATCTGTGCTGTAATTCTGTAATTTTCCACCCTAGAAACTGAAGAAAAAGGCACATGAAACTAAAGTCAGTAAAAGAAAACAATAATGAGTAAAAATCAATAAAATTAAAAAAACATGAATAGAGGAATTTTATGAATTCATAAGATGATCATTAAAGATATGAAAAAGATAGAAAATACTAAGAACAGTATAATATTACAGGTATAAATAGTGAATTTTTTGAATGATACATTTATAAAAACTGATCTATTGGGTCATCAGAAAAGTGATGACACATTTTTGTATAGAAAAACAGAGAACTATGTCCTGACTTTTCTGATGACCCAATAATAAAAAATAGAAAATATGAATAGTCCCATATCAATTAAAAAATAAATTTATAATTAAACACTTTACCAAAAGAAAACATCAGGGCCACATGATTTAATTAGCCAACAGGAAAAAATAGACTGAAGCAAACACACACACACACACACACACACACACACACACACAATAAATAAAAAGAGGAAAAAACTGAACTGAGTGTACGTAACTTGTAGAATGTTTTCAGAAAGCAGGAGAAATAGAATGACACAGAATAATATTGGAATAAGAAATGGTCAAAAATTTTACCAGTCCTGATGAAAAACATCAACTGGATAACCTAACAGCACAATGAATGTCAAACGCTAATAAAAAAAAAAAAAGAAAGAATGAAAAGAAAAGAAAAGAAAAGAAAAGAAAAGAAAAGAAAAGAAAAGAAAAGAAAAGAAAAGGAAGAGCCAGCAGACAGCATGGTGGTTAAGGCACTGGATCTCACATGACCGATGCTGCTGTTCAAATCCTGGATCTGGTGGCTTGAAAAACATGCCAAGTTCGTGCCCATTCAAGCCCAAAATCCTGAGTGGAGAATGGAGGAGAAGAGACTGTGGCATGGCAATCACCCCCTTGGGAGGGGAGTGATTTCTCACATTCCCTCTATCTGTCTCTGTCTGTTTCTCAGGTGAGTACATGAGCCCTATGGCAAAAATCTAAAAAAAAAAAAAAAAAAAAAAAGGAAAACCACAGCTAAGCATATTCTAGTCAAATTCTGAAAATAAGAGGAAGTTTTATTGCAGCTGGTCAAAACAGACACATAGAGGCAAACAATAATATAGTTGTATCCAGCTTCTCATAAATCCAAGAGGTAGCTCTTCAGTTTCTCTTCGTTCATATATCATCAATGCTTTCACTCCACTCCTTTCTTAGTCATTCAAAGCTCTCCACAACCCTTTCAGATTTATCTTTAAAAAATCACCCAGTATACCATGTCTTGTACCAAAAATGATTATTTTACTATTTGATCGTTGGAAAAGTCATGGCATACTTTTTCTATGCAAAAATGCGTCAGGACTTCCAATGACTCGATATTTTTCAAATGGTCCACAAATTCCTCCGATTATTTTAAATTGTTACAATATCTTTCACACACAATGATAGCCCCTGCAAACAATATTAACCAATTTTTAAATAACTCAACCATGCTGCTTTCTCCATCAAGCTTTCCCTGATCTCCCAGTGTGGCATTCTGCCCATGTTGACATATTATTGTCATATTATTATTTTTGCCTTCATCTACAACACTTTTCTCAGTCTGACTTTAATTTATCATCACTTGTGTACATCTTTTTTCTTTAAAACAAATGTAAAAAGAAATGCCATAGGATGTCTGCCATACAAAGAATCATTTTCATTGATCTTCATAATTTCCATAGTGCCCTTCTTATTAAAGATGCAAGTAAACAGTTGTCAATTTCAGCAGTTTCTAGACTACATCATGGGGGCACATTTATTTAATAATTTTTCAAAAAGAGCTCTAAGATGTGTATATATTTATTTATGGACTATTTATATATGCTAATGGTTATGTACATTCATATATATATTAAGCACATTATAGAACATATTCTATAATACAAATATAGAAAGAAAGTGATAGGAATAAAATAAAGGTTTACAAATAACTTAAAAAATATATTTGACCTCAATTTCCAGCTGTGATAGGGGAACTTGGACCTGTCTGTTCCCACTATAAACAACGAACCTCAGGAAAGCCACATGGGTGGTCAGACATGCTTATGTAACTGATCCCCAATAAAAACCCTGGACACCAAAGCTTGGATGCACTTCCAGGTTTGGCAATTTTGTGTATGTATTGTTACACGTTGTTGCTGGGAGAAATAAGTGTTGTATATACAAATCCACTGGCAGAAGGCAACTTGAAATGAATTCCTGGTTCCCTCTGGACTCTTCTTGATGTGTTTTTTCCTTTCCTGATTTTAATAAGTGTCCTGTTACTTGAATAAACCATAACCATAAGTTAAAGAGCTCTTCTGAGTTCTATGAGTTCTTCTAATAACTCATTGAAGCTGAAGGTAGTCATGAAGAATCTCTAACTATAGCCCAACAATGATTGATCCAAATTTTTAACTAGAAGTATTAACTGGACC